AAAAAAATGTGTGAGAGTGCTCTAACAGTAAGCTTAATGCCTTAAGAGCTTTCCTCGTGTTCTCCCCACATCGCGCGTGGTTATCACGTTGTAGAGCCTGGGATAATGTGTCCTATTGCTTAATGAGATGTATCAACCAAGGTTAAAGTGGCAGATTTCTCACTGAAGCAAACGCACAAAAACCTTCTGGTACTTAATCTTAACATACTTATTTTAATCCAAAAGAAAGGGGCATTGACAATTAGTTAATAGCTCTGTTCTTACGTGATTTTACAGCCTATTGCTTGGATGAGAACCCAATGTTATGCCAGTTGAGAAAACGTCGGTGTTACAACAGTTGGTTATTCATAACATACCGAAGTTTTGTCAGATTTGTTAATGAAGAGTGTCCATACACATGTGGGATGTGTTAAAAGGTCAGCCTTTTTAAAATATATTTTTTTGAAGTCTGCCTTTATGGGTTCCTTTTTCAGGTACCGCGAAGAGGGAGGGGCTGTGGGGGGTAGGGGCATTAGCGCCCTTACTTTTTAGAAAAGACTTGCCCTGCTAGGCATGCCCCGATTCCCCTTGCCTTATCGGTTGAAGCTTATGCGGGTCTTTAGGCCCCCACCCCCTCCACTCTACTCCTTGACTTAAAAATTTGCTGCGTAGGGCCTGTGGGGTCCTTTATATTTGAAGATGTTCCTGACTGGTTGTAGATCTTGGGATAGAAACGTTTTATATATCTCTCTCTCTGGTACACTATTTATTTATGTGGTGTTGCATGTTTCGAGGTGTTAATCTATTAAAATTCATACAATTGCTTTTCACAGGCCAGGCAGAGTAAGACACAAGGGAAGGCTGTTCAAATATCGTTCCAGCAACAAAGCTATTTTAAAAACTATTTTACACTACGTAATCAAATTGTGTTCATTTCTGCTTAATTTGAAATCAGGTGAGATTGAAATTTAAGAGAGCTGAACTGGTTGGAAGTAGTTTTAGCCGCAAATAATCTAAAGCTACATTTCACAGGTCTTTTTTTATTGTTTCCCTATTTGGGTGATTGGAAATTCAAACGACTGGAGCTTTTACTTGGATTCCTCATCGGACGTAAACATTACAACAAAATACAAGACTGTGAAGATGAGGTAAGAGAGTGGAAAAAACATACGCGCCCCCCGGTCTATCGCGAGGCCCCAGCTTTCCTTGGCTTCAGTTCCAGTTGCGGTAGTGGAAATTTTAGGGGGGTCTGTCCCATCGCACCTCTCTTCGGGAAGAATGTGCTCCGATGATTTATTCACTGTTTGATCAAAGCTGATAGTATTGTATCTTAACATCCTCGGTGATCTGGAAGACGTCAGTGCTTCGGGTTTGTGAATTTCGGTTTCTTTGTAAAATTCATTTCCTGGTGGTGTCTCTGAAGTATGACTCTGAAGAAAAGAGTTATGACACATTAGTATGGGAAATTATCATTTATTTGCACACGCTCTCTTGTAAGATGGGAAATCAAGAAATGTCCTGTTCAAGGATTTCAACGATAGATGAGATGGGAGATCCAACCAAAATGAAAGGCCTTCAGATTTCCAGAGCCTGGCATTTCTGATTACATGAGAAGCCCCATAGATAGATGAAAGTATTGGAAAAAAAAAATTAGTTAAATTACGAAATATTTGAATGGAAAATAATCCAGCAAACGAACGAATGAACGAAGAGTAGATACGAATTAAAAAAAAAAA